AAAAAAGAAAAAAGAAAAAAAGTTCACCCCTCCCTAACAAAACCCTGAGTATTTTCTCCTGAGCAGTCCCTCACTAAGATGACAGAATCATGGAATGGGAAAAAGGGAAAGGGATGGATTCATTTAAAGGGTCTTCAGCTTACTCTGAAGCTTGATCCGTCCTTTGGAAGCTTGGGTGACTCACTGGTTATATGCCAGGGAGGGGGTGTTGTGTTTCTAAAGAACTTCAATCTATTCTTCTTTACCTATTGGGTTTTTTCCCTCGCAATCCCTAGTTGTCTTCCACTCTGATCAACATTTCACTCCGGTCAACCTGTTTGCTGTTTCTCACTTCCTCAGTCATTTGTTTTACTCTAGCAGTCACTGCTTCTCCTCCTTAATAGGTGCTGATGTATTTTGTAGTCACTGAAACATATGCTTTACGGTATGGAATCATAGAGTTTGACTGCTTCTTGAAAACCTACAAATTGTAAATCTGCCCAGCAAACCTGAGTCCAGGAAGTTTTGTCATACTGGGGTTTTTGTGCTTTAATTTTTCCAAACTAACAGATTCCACAGCTGTAATAGAACTTCAGACTACATAAAGACCCGCTTAGCCTGGGCCTGTTGATAAAGCACAATATTCACTTTTGGTTTCTCTCTTCACAGATTATGGAAAGAATTATGGATCTGCCCACTTTACTGCGGCATGCTTTCAGGGAGATGTTTTCTGTTGGGGGCCTCTTCTGGATGTTTCGCATCAGAATATTCCTCTGCTTACTTGGAGCCTTGCTCTACCTGGCTTCACCTCTGGATTTTCTTCCTGAAGCCCTCTTTGGAATTCTAGGATTCTTGGATGATTTCTTTGTCATTTTTCTTCTGTTGATATACATCTCTGTCATGTACAGAGAAGTGGTAACGCAGCGGCTGAATAGATGAAATGGATTAAAATGACCCAAATGCAGAGGCAGTTGTGGAATGTTTTAAAAAGAGAACTAGAACAGAAGTGTGATATGGCAAGGCGTCTGTGTTCAGTTTCAGTAGTTGCAATTCCATAGCTGGTCATCTTACACAAACACAAAGGGTTAGTGCATGGTGATGCTTAACTGGAATCTTTAATTTGTGCGTTACTTAGGCTTCATAAGGACGAGGTCAGTTTTACAGTGTAATAAACTACCTTCATCTCCTTCCACCTAATGAGCAGCTGTATGTAATTAAAGCAGAAAACACCTTTTCTGGTGTGTGGTTGGTGAAAAAGGACTTCCAGTCAAAGCCTTCTAAAAAAATCCTGTTTGGAATCTAGGCATGTGTAAAGAAATTCAGAAATTCTTTACGGCTACATCATTTAAAGTCTCCCTGCTGTGGGCTAGGGTTTTTTTTAAATAAATATAGCTTTGAGCGTCTCTGTGGAAGAAGAAACTCAAGGACCACATTACCGTTACCACCCCGCAATTTGGTGTTGTCCACACGCCTCACAACAACACGGAGAACACCTCAGTGTTGCTTGAGCTGCACTATGTACGGCTGCGTGCAACTCGTACAATTGTATTTTGATCTTTGGGAATATACACACAGTATCTGATCTGGATAGGGAAACCAGTATTATGCATGCCATGCTGGCTAGTGCTCTGTTTTTAAGCGGGAGCATGGTTGTTCTCTTCAGGCCTGTCTGTTTGGTAGGTATGTGTCTTAGAAGCAAGGGCTTTATGCTGCTTTGGGTCAATTCGATGTCTCTGAAGCGAGAGGTTGCATTCCTTTAGTTGCATTAAAGCATTTAGCCAACAGAGAGAACTCTCAAATTTTAGACAGTGGCTGAAGAAGTCAGAATTGGATGTTTATGCTACAGAACTTTACCTGAATGTACATTCTGCAGTACAAGTATTGAACAGCTTAGATACTGGGGGTTTTGATTCTCAGTTGGGGTTTTCAGTTTGGTTGGTTGGTGGGTAGAGGGGGTTCTGAATGACCTTGAAAAAGGTCTGTGAGAAGGGACCACAAAAAATTCTGGGAAATGTTTTCAAAAATACCAGGATATTAATTATCCTGAAAGTTGATTTTTTTTTAATGTTGCATTTGAATATAGGCTGTTGTAGCTACAGAAGTAATTTGAAAATATTTTCATTTTAAGAAACAACTGCCACTAGAAAGGTCAAGGACATTCCCAGTCTGCGTACTTTTTAGCTCGAGGAATGGTAATTGCCATTTTATTTTAACTTACTGAGTACTTGAAATACAGTGACTAGACAGATGATTCTTTGCATGTTTACATATATGGGATGAGACCTACAATGAAAGGGACCTTCTCACAACAACTCTGTTTTCCCCATGCAGGC